GAGGCTTCTTCCATCTTTAAAATAAGGAAGAACTAAATGAATACGGGTGTTAGAATTAAAAACTGATAATATTGTATTACTTTTTTGATTTATCAGTTTAGTAGACGTATTTATGCATTTATAGAACTCAATAATATTTGATTTTTCTTTAAAATTGTGATTTCAGTGTATCGTCAAAGTTTGATTATCAATAGAGATAACTGCAGAGAAAAAAATTGTAATTTTTCTGTAAATATATAGGATATTATAGCTAATATATAGGATATTATAGCTTTACAAGTATGCATATTATTTATGGAACATTTATATAATAAAAAATCATGAATTTAATAATGCATGAATCGATATTTATGTTAATAATAAGAAATTTATATCAATCGTCGATAATGTCAACGTTCTTCAATTACCTCCGAGCCCTCGGAACTTTTTTTATACCGCCAAAAATTTGATCAGGATTTATGCTCTTTAATAGTATGTCGGTGGTATAGGTAAGAACAGTAGTGATACGATGCGATACATTATGTCATCTTTGTTTAACATTGGCAAACAACAAAGATGTAATGATTCATTGTCATTTGTGTCGCTTGTTGGAAGGCACTTACTCTGCCAAAAATAAGGGCAACAGTTTTGCGCAATTTTCAACATGGCGCATCAATCAGTTTCCCTATTTCCTAAGATTCTATGCTCATTCCCTAAGATGCTTCGCTCTTATAAGTGCTCATGCGCAATTTTTACATGGCACTATAGGACATAAAGATCAAAAGTGCCGACACAGAGTGAAACTACTGTTCTTATTTATACTGTGACTATGATCGCTCATTGAGCACTCAGTAAGCTCTGTTTGATCTATATTATTAAATCTAACGGAATATGCCAATCAGATACAAGAGCTCACTAAGTGAATAGTTGTAGTACTGAGGCTATGGTCAAAGTCTCGCTACAAATACTTTGAAGCATTTGATGGATCAATTAAAAGAAAGAATTTTATAAATTAATCAATTAAAAAACACTTCAAAGGACCATTAACTCTTGAGCGTGTGTTCAGAAGCACTATTCGCACTATGGACGCAAACGCCACCAATGCTGTTCGTGGAGCGATAGCGCCATTAGCGATTCTAACGTAGCGTTTAATCAAAGAGATATATTCGTCGAGGTTAAATTAATGTAGAGGATTCTGTTTTCAATCACCAATCACCTTTTCTCTATAATTTAAATTTTTTAGAGTTTTGCAACGTATGTATTTGTAACGTAAATTTTTAATTTTTTTGTGAATAATAGAACGCAATCTCAATTGCAATTTCTATGATGGCTTGCCGTTAGACCGGAATGAACAATGTAAACTAGATCAAAAAATTAATAGTTACACTGAGTAAATTAATCAGATAAAAGAATCCTTGAGCATCCATTGAGCATCCGATTTGAGAAGAAGCATCTACATCTAATAAGGACTTAAGCATCTGCAGCGGAATACCCTGCCACGATACCGCAATAGTAATTTTTTTCTGTACATGGAAATTAAAAATCGCCAGTAATAAGATATCTCTAATTTTCACATCAATAAAATCAAATACATAAGTCGAACTTCGCAGAAACTTTGAAAAATTAAAGATGATACACAAGCAAGAATTACATTATCAGCCTAGTGGTAAGCCATCAATTGCAGAAATTGAAATTGAGATTGCATTCACTATGATAAAATTTGAAATTCACACGTTACATATATCTAAGAACTTCGATTCTTTCCCTCGGTTACTTTTTTAAAACTTCCAAATATTCAAATTATTTTGTCTTTATTCAGATTTATTTGTAAGCAAACGTAAAGTTTAATTATGTCGTTAATTGCGCACAGACTATGAGCATTAATGTAAAGATTATTATTTCTCAGTTTGTAAAAATTTCCGAGGGAAAGAATCGAAGTCCTTGGATGTACGTACGTTTATTTTACAAAATTCTAAAGAGAGAAAAGTTTGGTGCCATTCAAGAACAGAATCTCCTCAAACATTAATCTAACCTTGACGAATATTAAATGCTAGCAACGTTACGCTAGAGTCACGGATCTGTAAACTAAAGGCTTAAACACAATAGGCACACGGAATAATGAGCCGTCCAATCAGAACTTTGGAATGTAAGTTCGATATTATATCTCAGAGCTCTGATTGGACGGCTCGTTATTCCCTGTTGCCTATTGCCTATTATGTTTAAGCCTTAACGCTATCAATACACTACCTCGGAAGAAACAGTGTTGATAGTGCGCAATTGTGACGTAACACGCTACCATTAGTGGCCTAGTTTCCACCGAGGCTTTAATCCGGAATGTAAAAACTAATCGACTGTAATTGGTTCTTACATTCTGATCCGGATTAAACTCTCGATAGAAACTAGGCCACTGACGTCATGATCGTGTTTGTTTGCGCTATCTGCAAATCCAGTTTGTAGCGCTAAATAGCGTGAATAGCGTCTTCCCGAACGCATCATGAGTGCACCCATAGATTCTTGCTGAAGATACAATTTTCATGTAAGGTTGTCTGTAGGGTTGCCAAGTCGAAAAATATAATTTCTGTAGAATTTGTAGTAAAATTTTCCGAGAAATTCTTGAAAAAAATATGAGAAATTTTCAAGAAATTCCTGAAAAAATAAAAAAATTTTGTAAAATTCTAGAAAAAAATCACAAAATTGGGTTGCGTTCGAAAACCTCCCCAAAATAGGATTCGCTTAAATCCGTTCGTAAACGTCATTTTGTCCTCATTCCCTATTCCCAACAGTGTTTGAAAACATGGGAAAAATTCCCAGAGTATTTCTTCGTGCCTCACTCGGGAGTGCGGAAAAGATTATCTATCTTGCGCAGTGCATCAAATTACATAAATGCAATATATTTTTCAAGTATTCACGTGTACAATACAATGAATAAAATAATTAAAATAAATTATATATCATACTGCGTTGTAGAAAATGTGCGTTGTAAAAAACGGATTTTTGACATGAAAAAAGAAAAAATTCTTCTACAAGACAAAACAAATAAATGCAATTATTTAAATTGTTTAATTCTTTTTATTAACGCATGTATTTTTATTTACACGTTAATTATTTTGACATAATTTATGTCTATAGTTTTATTTTGTTTTAGTCTGTTTATTTACTATTAACTTTTTTGGAATATACATGTAAATATGTGTGTAAATGAAAATATTTTATACATTATTAAGATTATATTATATCATCGCTATCTCCTCAGTCTTTACCCTAATTAAGGCATTATAAACATGAATATTCGCATATCATTTTTACTCCTTTCTCCACTTATTGCTCTGTTCCCACTTCGCCACTGAGCTGAAAAGGTTACGGTTGTTACAGATTATAGCTTCTAAGCTGTTGGAAACTAAGCTTTGTAGTTTATGTATTTCCACTTATGGTACTTCGAACCATAAGATTTTTACCATAAGACTAATAGATAAAAAGAAGGAAAAATTGAATATAAAAAAATTGAAATATTATATATTAATTAAAACAAAAAATTTATAAAATGCCTTGTTGCGTTGCAGTAAACTATATCAATAGATCTGAAAAAAGTATTCGATTATTTAAATTTCCTGCGGATAATATTTGTTGACAACTTGCTGTAAAATAAATACATGACTTGTGAATAAACATCACTTCCTCGCAGATGAGAAATTTCAATCCTTTTCTTCAAATTGACATACATATACTTTATCTAGAAATAACTTGAACGCTAGACACTCTTCAGGTCCTACACTATTATGATAAATATTCAATTGATTTTGAGAGCAAAAACGGAGTGAAAGGACAAAATTTGAAACAGTAAATATAAATCATAACCTATAATGACCATAACCCGTCACAGCTTAGTGGAAACAGAGCAAGGAGTGGGAAAAGGAATAAAAATGGTGAATACTTAAGTTCTAGTGCTCTACCCTAAAAGTACCTTTTTATACTGATCTTCAACGCTCTTTTTCAAAACAGGTCATCGTGATCGAAATTCGCTTGATATTCGTCAATTTCTATCACGTGACTTATTTTGACGCCAAAATCATCAAACATCAGTATGAAAAAGTACCTTAACTGTTCGAGAGGTTTTTGTTTCTCATCGACCGCTATATTTACTTAGGTAGTCACGTGACATTTCCTCAATAAGTTAACCCCTACTTTGGGGAATAGATTTTCGAACGCAACCTTGGTCAATAATTGTATCGAAAAAATAAAGTCGTAGTGGCAACCAATCAGCATCGTTCCCTTTTGATTTTAAATAGCTTGGCTCATCATGGGACATATTTTTCGGAAATGGAAATTTTTCATACTCTATCGACAACTGTTGGTCATCAGTGATCGCTAAGGATTAAGAATAATTGAAAAAGAGTAGTATTGTTTTCCGTGTTCTTTAAATAAAGGACATCCTTAAATATAAAGGAAAATTTTTATGAGCTGTTCAAACTGGCTGTTCCAGCGACAAAAGGGATCATATGGTCAAAATTGACAAATAGCGTTCATTTTGATCACGTGATCCTTTATGTCGCTGAAACAGTCGGTTAGAGCAGCTAGTAAAAATTTACTTTAAGAATCGACGATGAGTGCTTTCCGTTTGATGATACAAACAGAGAGGGCTTATTACGGTTTTTTAGACGAAGTAGAAATTACAAAAATGAGCAAATTCACTAGGTGTTAACCAATGAAATTATAAATATTCTAATAAATTTGATCACTTTCATAATTTTCATTTCGTTTCAAGAATCGTAATAAATCCCTTCTGGATGTATTCCGAACTGGATTAGCTCAGCTTATTTTTTCCCCTAAATGTTGGCAGTTCCGTAACTAAACTAAGAGGTTCCGCACAATGTGAGTTTGTTACTAGGCCGTGTCGCAAACCGCACTCCATGTAATCGCACTTTTATACCTGGACGCAAAAGCGCTTGTCGCGCGGCAAAATATGATGCAATAGCCAATAAGCTTACAGCTCCTAATGTTCATTGGTTACCGCGTCTCATTTTGTCTCACGGCAAGCGTTTCCGCGTCCAGAAACCATTAGAATTATCAGAGTTTAGCCATGCACTAAAAATGGCGTGCATGTCCGAAATGTGTGTTTGCTCTCAATTGGTGATATGAATGCGTTCTCGATTAGTACTGCCATTGTGTGGGCACACGTCAATCACAAGAGAGGTTGGAGAGATGGTCAGACTCTGGTAATTCTAGGGACTATAGTCAGCCCTAGTATTTAGCATTGATTGTATCATCGTGGTTGAATCATAATTAATCGGAGTTTGCAAAAGAGGTCCTTAATATTAATGTTGAATTGTGTTGAATATCAATTTTTTATTTTTTAAATTCTTTTACCTTTTGTATCGTTACAGAAAGTGACAAAGGAATATCGTTGTATTATGTCAGAGGAAAAGTGTACAGTGGTATACATGCCGCATCATGCGCAACAAAAATTATGTCAAAGTAGACCACTTTACAGACAAGGAAAAAAATTAACAGCAGTCAAGGTAGTATTGAAGACTTGTATCCTATAATAAAATCGGATTTTTATTTTACTTATTTTTAATTAGGATTAATTACTAGGATTAAATTTGCTGTTTGATAGAGATTAAAGAAATATAATTCATCTAAATATCTGTTTTCAACAGACTCGACAAAGTACTTCCTATAAATCTTGGCTGTGTTCCGTTTCACGCATGATGCGCATGATGCATCATTTACTCTTGTTTAACATTCGAATTACGAGGATAAATAATGCAGTATGCACATCATCATGCGTGAAACAGAATGCAGTCCTTAGTATCAACATAATACAATTTATTATTATAGAATATAATTAGGTCTGTTTGCGTTGCTTGTAGGGAAATTACTTTTTACTATTACTTTTTAAAACAATGATTTAATAATAACATTGCAATTTTTTATGACGATAGCAATGATTAACTGAAAATTAACGCTGGGAACATCACTTTTGAAAAGTAACATTTCCAATTTTAACATTTAATTAACTATCATCATCAAATTGTTTTAAAAAATAATGGTAAAAATAACTTTTCATCCTTGGTTTACATATTTTACATTCAACATCTTTGCTTTCTTTTTGATGCCCAAATATGTGTCTATCTCATTTCAAAGTTTTTTTAAGATTTCAAGTGAGCATGCAAACAAATCTGTTAATTGTAAAAACCAAGAAGAAATTAAAATTGCTGTTTCAATGAATTAATTTACAAAATGATTGATAATACCAGGTTTTGCTAACCTACTCTCAAATATCAAATTGGCAGAAATATTTTATATCAAGTTCATATTTGCTGCTGAAACATGAACTTGATGCTGATGTAATTGATGTAATCTATTGCAATATTCTGCTTAAATTCGTTAAACTAATAATATACTGTTAACGTTTTGAGATATTTATTAAATTACTACTTAGATTATTATCTATATTAAATTACTGCTTAGAACAATAATTATTTCCATCAATTATTTAGTTTTATTTTTAAGGAAATGTGTATGTACATATATATATTTTAAGATTTTCAGTAAATTTAAAATTTATTTACACATATAGATCTTAGTGACCAATTGTTCCAAATTAGAAGGGACAGTTTCAAATTTTAATTTTTTGTTTCTCTCTAGCATGTGTCTCAAACATCTTACACTTAAACACTTAAACTTACAATTTGTCTCTCTTTTAAGTATCAATATAATAAATATAAAATAGTAAGCGTGAGCTCTAATTTTCGACTAATGTGTGAAAAATTTTATAATTTTTTATTTCAAAACTTAAATGTTATTCATAAAATACTTTCAGTAAAAAAATATAATTTTTTTAAATAAAATGTGATCTCGTAACTTGATGTAATATTTGTTGTGATCTCATATTATACATTAAATGTTATTACAAAGTTATTTACAAATATAATAATACAGGTGTCCGATAATTGTTCTGACGAAGTTTGTGGACATTTAGAGCGAACTAAACTGAGAAAAAAACTGGGAAAAAACTGAATTTTACCATTTTGCAATTTTCACAATAATTGACAAGATATTAATTGCTAAAAATTATCGAAAATGGATCTTCAATAATTTTTTAAAAAAATCACTACTATCAAATCATTACTATCAACTTTATAAAAAAATTGCAAAAATTGTTATTTTCTTCTTATAGAGCTCTAAGAATTTTTTTAGAATTTTTTCAGAATTTTTTAATATCATATTTTTTCATGTTGATTAAAATGAAAAAATGCAATATTAAAAAGTGATAAAAAATTCTGAAAAAATCATAGAGTTCTATGAGAAGAAAATAAACAATTTCATCTGTGCAGTTTTTTTGTAAAGTTGATAATATTTGAGTAAAAAATTATTGAAGACCAATTTTCGGCCATTTTTAGCAATTAATATCTTGTTAACTATTGCGAATATTGCAAAATGGTAGAGGATTGAATAAGACGATTGAATAAGATTTTCCGTCTCAGTTTAATCTGCTCAATATGTCCACGAACTCCGTCAGAACAATTATCGGACACCCTGTATAATGTTATTTGTGTGCGTTGTTAACGATTATTTAAAAAATGTTTATTAAAATTTAATTACGATAATTAATATTAAATTTTTTTAAATGTCCCTCTTTGTCTTCTTAAAGAGTTAATCACCTTAATATATATATATAATGATTGACTCGTTTTTGGCGTTAGCATTTCATATTTAATTTAGCTTCAATTGTTACAATATATTTTTATTATCAACAATGAATGATTGTTTTTCAACAAGAGATGCAGATGACATAATATAATAGCAAAGCATTACTTTGTTATTTAACATTGACAAATAATAAGAATAAAATTCTTAATAAAAATCATAAAATGATTTATTATGTAATACTATCAATTCTTGCTGAAAAATCTATTTCATATAATCGCCAAAAAAAAAGCATACAATAATATTTCCAGTAATTAATCTTTGAAATTAACAATTAATACGAAGCATTGATGCTATATTTAATTTGTACATCTTATAACGATTTTGATTGCTTTAAATGTTTTTACTTAAAAAAAATTTTATAATTTGATTATATTCTAAATTATATTTTTACTTATATATCTTATATTAATTTGAAGAGCCATATATAAAAAAACGATTGCTTGCGTATTTTCTTGACAAATTAGCTTTGTGTAACAGGTTTACACAATTAATGATGAATCACAGCATTTGTTAATACATGGAGTACCACAACTACAATTAACACAAGAGGTGAGAAAACTCATTTATTCTTATGGAAATGTGAAAGCAATTCAGTTGGTAACTGAATATCCTTCAGAAGAATTTACAGAGACGTACCATGTACACTACACACATATTCAGAGTGCGAGGTATATATTTTTGTTTTAAAAAAATAACATTTATTATACACAAGAATCTACGAATAAATTACAGAATAAAATCTAATTATTTAAATCATTTCTTGCACAGAATAGCAAAGCGTTTAATTGATAATAAAAATTTCTTCGGCGGATTTCTGCATGTTTATTATGCTCCTGAATTAGAAACTTTAGACGAGACAAAATTAAAATTTATACAACGCCATAAGGATGTAGCGACGCAGATAAAAAGAATTCAACAAGAGTTGATAAATCCAGAAGTAGATAAATTTATTCCAAGGTATGTCTAAATATTGTTATTATTAATTCTCCGACAATGTTAAATTTTTACTCTTCGTCCATAGCCTAAATCTTCGAATTTTAGTGCACATTTCTATATTATTACGATGTATAAAAATCTGAAAAAATTCTTACATATTTGTATAATAAAAACTTTCACGAGTTCTATTATAGAAGTTAGATTATATTTTATTTATTTGACAAATTTAAATTTATTTACTAGAATTCACAATAAAAAAATCACTATTTCTTTTACGTTTAGCATTACTAATAGAAGGTAAATATATAATGAATGTTACACGAATTGAGATATTAGGTGTACAACTTTGCTTCCGCCGTTTTCCTATAGATGGCTTTAGCGGTGGTCGAAATAAATAGATCATAGACGTCATACAATAAACTTGGGCATCTGTCAACATATCCCCATAGAAACATTAGTCGATTTGTGTCTGCATCATAAAGTTATTCTCGATTGAAAATGTCAGTTTACGAGCCAAATCCTTGTCATTTGCGGGAGGTTTTAATTTTTTGCTTCAATATGAAGAAATCTGCGGCTGAGGCTCATCAAATGCTCTCAAATACTTATGATGAGGTCGCTATTAGTGAAAGAACGTGTCATGAGTGATTTCAACGCTTCAAGAACGGTGATTTTGACGTCCAAGGTCATGCTCTGTATTTGGTGGGACCAGCTCGGCGTAGTGTATTATGAACTGTTAAAACCGACTGAAACAATCACAGGCGATCAATATCGAACGCAATTGATGCGTTTGAGCCGAACATTGAAAGACAAACGGCCGCAATACAACGAGAGATACGATAAAGTGATTTTGCAGCATGACAATGCTCGACCCCATGTTGCGAAGTCAAGACATACTTGGAAACGTTGAAATGGGAAGTCCTACCCCACCCGCCGTATTCTCCAGACGTTGCCCCCTCTGACTATCACTTGTTTCGATCAATGGCACACGGCCTGGCTGATCAGCACTTCCGATCTTATGAAGAAGTAAAAAATTGGATCGATTCGTGGATAACCTCAAAAGA